ATAGAGGCCGCGCGCGCGGAGCGAGCGCCCGTCGCTTCCCCGCCCCTCCTGCAACGCACGACCCCGGGATCTTTTTCCCCCCCCTCCCAACCCCTCCCGGCTCTTCTGCCGCCATGGCTGACAAGGAAGGTGAGTGCGCCGAGGCGGGCTCGGGAAGGCGCGGGCCGGCGGGGCTGTGTCGCGGCTTGTAGACGCGGCCTAATCACGGAGAGCAGGCCCGACTCCGGCTGGAGGAGGGAGCTCGCCGCGGGGCGGCCTAACGGCGCGCTGGCTCCTCGGGAGCGGATGCGGGGCGACGACGCCAGCGCTCGGGCCCGGGCGAGCGCGACGCTCCCCGGCGGTCCCCCTGCCTGCGGGGACTCGGGACGCCGCTCCCCACCTCCAGGCCCGAGGCGCAGGCCTCCTTGGGGGTTTTGTGGACTCGCTGGCGCGCGCCGGCGCGCTTGGGAGGGAGCTGGGCAGCCCCGGGCCGGACGGACGGGTAACGGAGTGTCTGGCTGGGGTGGCCCGAGGACTTCCGGCCCTCGGCGGCGGAGGGCGGCCGTGGGGCCTGCGCCCTGGGAGGTGAAGACGACTCTCCATTGCGGTGTCAGGATCGGGGAGCCGCGCCGGGGGCTTCGAAGAGGTTTTTCCTCGCCTCCCGTCCCTGTTCGCTAACTTGATCCGTGTCCTAAAAACGTTTTAGCTGCCTTTGACGACGCGGTGGAAGAACGTGTGATCAACGAGGAGTACAAAATATGGAAGAAGAACACCCCTTTTCTTTATGATTTGGTGATGACCCATGCCCTGGAGTGGCCCAGTTTAACTGCCCAGTGGCTTCCAGATGTAACCAGGTGACACCAATCTCTTGGATATTACTTTGGTATTTCATAGCTTGAATTAGTTTTCCGGGGTTTTTGTTTTTTTTGTTTTCCCTCTCCAGTCATTCAGAATCGGCATATGATCAGAGCCTATGAGTGATGTTTATTTTCCACTACCAATAAGTAAGAAATAAGGGTAGAAAACAGAAGGTTGTTTTGTAATTTACCCTGCAAGAGACGACGTGTTTTTCTTCAACATTGAATCGAATAGTCATCCTATAACTGTAATTGACTGTGTAATGTTAAAATGTGACAGATTTCCAAAGGTATTATGTCTGGTTCATTCAATAAAACATTTGGATTCTCAGTCATTTGTGACGATAGCAAGGTTAATAGCGAGATAAATTTGGGGCCTGCCTTCAAGAAATACATTGTCTGGTTGAAGGGACAGTTATTTGAGCTGTAATGGTCCCGAGGCTTTAGATATTAGTGAGGTAACACCCGAAGAGGGCTGGGGGCGGGTCATGTTTAGTGATAGAGCACATACTGGCAAGACTTTGATCCTTAGGCCGTAGAGTGAAATTGCATACACAAGATGTTCTAACCAAGGGAACCACCTGTCAACTTGAAATGCCAAGACTAGCTTGCAGAAGGGAGTGAGTGGGAATACAAAGATAAGGTGGGTGTATATTACTATTGATGTAAACTCGGCAAAACGGAGTACTAAATTCTTTTGAAACTTGGAGTAAGATATGTATAGAACCCGGTTATGAGACTGATTTGGTTCAACAAGTCATAGAAAATTGGAGTAGAGTTGTTTTGAGGTGCTAGGAATTGAACCTTGTGCATGGTAAGCAGGCACTAACTCGGAACTATATCTCTTGTTTTTTGTGTAATAGAAAGTTCTTGTATATTTTACTAAAAAATGAAGTATGAGGCTGCTACTTATGCATCAGTGTAGAGAAAAATGGAGACCTCTATTTGAAGGGTGTTGTACAAATCCATGGAGTTGGAACTTTTTTTTTGTTGTTGTTTTTTTTTTTTTTGTTTTTTTTTTTTTTGTTTTTGGTTTTTCGAGGCAGGGTTTCTCTGTAGTTTTTGCGCCTTTCCTGGAACTCACTCTGTAGCCCAGGCTGGCCTCCAATTAACAGAGATCCGCCTGCCTCTGCCTCCTGAGTGCTGGGATTAAAGTCGTGCACCACCACCCAGCTTGGATTTGGAACTTTTTGTTGTTGTGGTTTTGGGTTTTGATTTTTTTTTTCTTCTTGAGACAGGGTTTCTCTGTGTAGCTTTGGTGCCTGTCCTGGCTCTCTCTCTCTGTAGACCAGGCTGGCCTTGAACTCACAGAGATCCGCCTGGCTCTGCCTCCTGACTGCTGGGATTGAAGGCTAGCACCACCACCGCCTGGTGGAGTTGGAACTTTTTAAAATGTAACCAGGTTCAAAAATAGTTGGGAGAGGTATTGGGGATTTAGCTCAGTGGTAGAACGCTTGCCTAGCAAGTGCAAGGCCCTGGATTCGGTCCTCAGCTCCAACAACAACAAAAAAAAGTTGGGAGCTGCAGCTGAGTGGAGTCATTTCTATCTGTTGTCAGTGGTGGTTAAACCACTGGTGTTGAGAGGATGTGTGGTGCTACACAGCTGAAAGAGGTAGAGCAAGAAGATGGGGAGTTCAAGGCCAACCTGTGACACACTTAAAAAAATAAATAAATAAAAACTGCACAGTGGCAGAGCCCTGTGACCCAGCACTGTTTGTGTGGCATCTTTCCCATCTTGACAAAGGGGTTTCAGGTAGTAATGTACAACACGGTCAGCTGGAGGTGTTGTAAAACATTGTCAACTCTCTTCCGAGGTTTCTGATTCTATTGACTGTGAAAATTTTCATTCCTTGACATTACCCAGTGGTGCTGGGGCTGTTGGTCCTAAGGCCACACTGTAAAGGCTCTGCTTTACAGTGTTCGATTAATCCTTCCAGGAGAACACATGGTATTAAGTTATGTCTCTTCTTTGAAACTTCATATTCCTTGTTTCTTACAGTATAAAATTCAGACTGCCTTAAGCTGACATTCAAGAAATTGAGCAGTGATTTTAATCATCCTAGTTTTCTCTCATTTGACTTTTCCATTTCCAAAACTAGAGTTGGACTTTAGTCTGAGTCTGTTACTTAGTAGCTGTGTGATCTCAGCCACAATGTCTAATTTTCCTATATATCAAATACTTTACACTTCAAATTAGAATAATTCTTCATAGTATTGTGATCCTTAAATCCAGGCCTGCATTAGTTTTAGGTTGTTTGTTTGTTTAACAGTCCTGGCTGTCCTGGAGCTTGCTCTGTAGACCAGGCTGGCTCTGCCTCCAGAGTTCTGGGATTAAAGCTGTGCACCATCACCACTGCCCAGCTTAACTCACTTTTTTTATTCCAACAAACTGGGGGAGAAGTAAATTTCCCTTTAGTAATTTTAAATTTTGGCCAAGTTAAATAAAAATTAAGTACTCTATTTGTGCTTAGCCTTAATAGAGGGCCATTATAAGTAGTGAATAGAGGCTGGCAAGTCGACTCACTGGGTAAAGATGCCTATTGCCAAGCTTGACAACTTAACTCTGGTTGCCTGGAGAGAACAGATCCACAAAAGTTGCCATTTGTTTTATTTCTGTTGGGGGTCATGCATGCCTAAGTGGATGGGTGTGGGTGCTGAGATTTCCTGGAGCTAAATTTCAGGTGATTGTGGGTCACTTGGCATGGGAGCTGGGAACTGAACTCATGTCCTCTATAAGAGCAGCAAACACTGTTAAGTGCTGAACCATCTTTCTGGTCCTACTTTTTTTTTTTTTTGGTTTTTCGAGACAGGGTTTCTCTGTGTAGCTTTGAGCCTTTCCTGGAGCTCACTTGGTAGCCCAGGCTGGCCTCGAACTCACAGAGATCCGCCTGGCTCTGCCTCCC